ACATAAATGTACTATGAAACTAATCAGTTAAGACAAACTGTACAATTGACACCACAAACGTTCGGGAGAGGGTGTTAATTTCCATCTAAGTTGTGAACCACAATCCTTATTTCTCAAGCAACTGATAGAATGATCTTTGATTCGCCCGATAACGACCCATTCTATCTATGTGCAAAACAACAGAACATTGAAATTGTTTAATAAAACATAGTTCACATTCATAAAGGGTAAAAGTGTAATATCATCTAAAGTTAAGCTTTTAGAATATAACACCAACAATCTCCACCTTATACTTAAAGCTTTCGCTTTTACAAGTATAGTCCTATCAATCCGTTATTATAAAAGACATATGTCGATCCTACCGTCATACACCTAACTCCCATTCCTTCCACTTGTTTGACGAAGACCTTCTCAGGCAAACTCTTCGTGAAAAGATCAGCTAGGTTGTCCTCTGATGCAATCTTGGCAACGTAAATGTCTCCTCTACCAACTATATCTCGAATCAGATGGTACTTGTGCTCTATATGTTTGCTTGCTCTGTGGGCTCGTGGTTCCCTTGAGTTCGCTATTACTCCACTGTTATCACAGTACATGGTGATACTAAGTGGCCAACTCGAAATCACCTCTAAGTCCACTAAGAAGTTTCTGAGATAAACTGCCTTTGAGCCTGCTATGTACTCGACTTCCATGGTGGAGTCTGCCACGCATTTCTGCTTAGCACTCCTCCATGAAATGGCTTCCATGAATTAATTTAATCCACCTGCAGGGTTTAGCATAATAATCCTTCATGAACTCACTTCGGGGACATCATCAAACTAAACGTACATGGTGATCGTAGATATCCTAATAGCACATCATACATACAGTAATATTACCCAAGACAGTAGGAATATTAATTCAGCGAACTGAACCTCACCCAAGTGAACCAAAATAATATATATACTGCATATACATGTCTATTTAATATCTTACGGGTTAAGAGAACACAGTAACTAACCGAGGCCTAGTTAGTTTACGTCGATCAGTATAAAACGAACATCTCTTCTTTGAGATCATGTTCAATACATAAATGTGCTAGTGCAACTAATCAGTCAAGACAAATTGTACTGTTGACACTACAACCGTTCAGGATGGACTGTAACACCCCGCTATGTCATAAATATCAGAGTTAAATTTTCGCAAAACTTTTTAATAAAAATTACAGACTAGTTTGCGAAATCATGTTTCGGAGTGCTACCATAACCATTACTGTGCTTTGAAATCCGTTTATGGTTTTTAAAGAAAACCGTTTATCATAATATAAACAATCCGACTAGTAATCGGATCAAAAGGCTAAGTTTGTCAAAAAGTAAAAGTCAGCGGAAAACGTAGCGTGGCAAAACATTTAAACTCCACTACGGGAGATAGTAACAGCACTGCTATGCCAAATTCAAACATGTAAACAAAATCCTGAACCGCCCGCCAGCTCACTCTTCCGGTCTGACTCTGTGACCTGAAAAACATAGATAACATGGGGCGTGAGCACTAAAGTCCATTGTGCTCCGTAGGAACTCATACTAAACTAAACAGTAAAAATAATTGCAATATCATGATCCTGGTATATACATAAACATAACATAGCATGATACCGGTAAACCATTGCCATAACATGAACCGTTGCCTCATAACCGTTACCTCATCTGCAGCATGAAAATGCCGGACACCATGTGCACACTCTAGTGGGCAGACTAGGCCACTAGAACACATAATGGACCGGCGACCATTCCAAGCGGATACATAACATAGCATGATACATACCTCAAACATGGTACCATAATTATAATCAATGTAATACCCAATCTGAGTCCCCACCTGAACCGTCGATATGAAAATGGTAGTGCTGATAACGATAGCCTGATCAAACTGTAACATACTATAAACAAATACTAAGTACTATGGTCAGACTGAGTAAAATAGCTGTTTAATATGTTAAGATGCTATGCTGGAACTTGACATGATATTTGAACTTAACCAGTATAATCGGAACCGGTTAAAATCGGAACTGGACTGACATGAATTTACCGGATTGGACCGAACTTGGAATTTAACTAAAAGTTTGACATAAACATGAACTGGTTCATTAAACATTAATCCTTACAGTGAACCGGTTTTGTAATGTCCCAACATTTTATTAGTATAAATTATGTTTTAATTCCGATATAATAATGTTAACATTTATTATTTTCGGAATTAATTATTTTCAGTCGAGATTACCGAAAACTATTTTCGACGTACCGTTTACGTTCAGAATAATTTTGGTAATTAAGCATTATGTTTAAATAAATAATTAAACATAAATTAAGTGATTAATTAACATTAATCACGCAATTAGGCTAAAAAGCCGTATGGGATTGTTCCCAATTTTTGTAAATGCCGTACCCACTCCTTAAGCATAAAAGAAACCATTTTCCTTCTTATGAAGTAAGGGCACGTGTCAGCCTAAGGGGGTGATTAGTCACCCTAAATTGCTTTATTTAGAGGCAAGTGTCAAGCTTACATGAAGCCACATCCTTCCTCCATCACTCCTTCAATTTTCGGTCGTCTATAAATATGGGGGGATTTGGGAGATTTTTCCCAACTTTTCAAGCTATATTCGTACTCCATAAGTTAACTAGTTCAGCAATAGTGGTCAAGCAACTTGCTTTAAGCCTTCCATAACATCGCACGGCAATAGCAGCGCCGCACGGCCACACCCGGACGTGTACGAAACAAAGAATCACGCCCTATCTTTCGTTTCAGTCGAACGTTTGGAGAAGGTAACTCACCCTCAGCATCTTTCCTAGTTAATAAGATCATGTAGGGTTTAAGTGTCCAAGCTCATGTCCAAAAATTTCAAGAAATGTAATGATATGTTCGGTAGAGCCATGTATTGGCCGTGACCGAGTGAGGTCTGTTTCTAACCGGCAACTCTCGAACCATTATTGTTTAAATGATCAGTTTACCTCATTTTATGTTCAGTCACTCGAGGATGGTTGAGGAAAAATGAAGTTTTATTGGTTAAATGGCTCAACCCGTCGCTAGCGCTTATCGCGCGTGGCCACGGGCGGCACCAAGCCATGACGTGTTACTTTCGGTTATGGTCGCGTTCTTTCGTGTGATTTATGCCTGGATAGTCTCATGATGATGTTCATGTTAAAATGGTTTGGAGTTGCCGAGGGAAAAGATGATTCGGTCAGGAGACGGCTTATCGCCGTCGGCGGCGCATGGCGCGCTCGCCACGGCCCGTTCAGTTAATCATGCGAAGGTTATATTTTTAAGTCATTGATGATTATGTTCATGTTGAGTCAGGTGATGTTGTCTTACGTAGAAGTTGTTGGAAAGAAACGCCGGACGACTGGCAAGGGTCGGCCGCGGGCCGTGCTGTCCGCACATAGCGGCAGCGCTCAGCAGTGCCTGCGCCCGCGCACATAGCGCGGGGCAGTGAACTAGCCGATGCTGCGCTGCGCACGACGGACGCATGCATCTCGCCACTCAGCTACACGTCCAGTGCACGCCTGTGACTCGGTAATGCCCCGCGGCACCGCAGCAACGCGCCAACGCGCGCTGTTTGTCCCATTTTTGTGTCCTTATTTTGGGTTCATTTTTTCTTTATTTTCCCCACTTATAGGATTTTCATAGTTTATTTGGTCCAATTCTGTGTTCTTTGTGTTTTCTGTCTTTTGTGTCGTTTTTGTGTATTTTTGTTGTCTTTTTCTTCGTGTTTCCCTTGTGTTCGTGTTTTCAGGAGGTAGGTTGTGTTGATCGAGGACGGGACTACTTGAGCTGAGACCGGGATATCCAGAAGACCCATTAACGTGTTCAGAATACTGAAGGAAGGACCGGAAAAATGGACCGATAAGCTGCCTAGAACAACTCGCGACTCGCGAGTCAGTGTCGCGACTCGCGAGATTGTCGCGACTCGCGAGGATGTCGCGACTCGCGAGTGCAGAAGAGCCGAAAGACGATTTCCGCGAGACGAGTCGCGACTCGCGAGTCCATGTCGCGACTCGCGAGACAAGTCGCGACTCGCGAGTCTGGTCGCGAGTTTCCCCAGAAAATAAATATATTTGAAGACGCGCGACTCGCGAGATGTCGCGACTCGCGACCTGAAGGAAAGTGAGAGTCACGACTCGCGACTTATGTCGCGACTCGCGACTTACGCGGCGCGATTTTCGAGGTCGGGATTTTAAGTTCAGAATTTCGACCTAGACAGGATTATTCACTTTTCAGACCTTGTTTTTATATTATTCTCTCTAGAAAACTCAT